TTACCGTTTTACAATCAAACTATATGAATGAATTTGGATTCATTTTGTGACTAATACTTTTTATTTGTCAGAAAGAAGTTACTAATCTTAATTTCAATTAATAGGGGAGTGTAGCTAAGTATATTCCATGATCTAGCTTTTTGATGGACACTGACACCATTGGATCTGAGAACAGGTTAGGGAGTGCCCATTATAAATTAATCCATTATAATTATAATGTCCATTATAATTAATAAATGATTAATCACGTGACCGATTTTTTAAAGAATTTTTGGACCCTCCCTTCCCCTTAGAGACACGCGATGATATTCAAAACTGCCACCCCACCTCCCCCACCAAACATCACGTGTATTTTTAGTTACGAGAAAAAATTATAAAAAATTTGCAAAGATTTCTTTAAATGCTTCAGGAAAAAAAATAAATACACGTGATATCTTATTATACTATATCCTCCCTTCCCCACGTGATGTTTTGTGATTTTTTGTCAAACCGCCTCCTCCCCCTAAAAACTTCACGTGATTAATGAACGCCACCTTACTAGTTTCAATTGCTATAATATGGCTTTATTTTCTATTAAATGAATTATTTTTCCATTATGGATTAGAATTCTTTGGTCATACCATCGTTCTTTTAATCATAAAAGTTTACGCTTAAATGCGAAAAGTATTTTCTTTAATTTTATAACATTTTGTCGTTCTAGAATATGTCGGATTGAAAAGTGAGATTTACTATATCTAAACCAGTTTAGATTCTCTATTTCGTCCATTTTATCTCGATTTTGAAATTCATATACCAGACAGGGTTCGATGATGGTTTATATCAAATAGTTTTCTGTGATTATTGTCTGAATTGGTTCGTCATAATTAACACTTGAAGAATAAATATTGATTCCCATTTTCTAAAGAAATCCTGAAAATTCAAAATCCGGATTATGATCGTTTGTAATTGCCTCCGAAATAATTAAATGAATAAAATAATTATACAAAGAAGTGTCACTACCGTATTTTGTCATTTCTAGAAATTATATTTAAGAGTTATGAGAAGATAGTAACCAGAGTGGAGCATTCCAAAAAGCCATTGAAATATGTTGAAAAATTTGCTATTTTTAACTTCCCGTAGGGCAAGTTATAGTAATCGCAAAAAAATCGAAAATGAAAATGTTTATATATCTTTACGTTTCAGAGGTTTCTGAACATTTTGGCATACCTTAGAAAAAATGGATGTATGTGTGTGTGTGTGTGTGTGTGTGTGTGTATGTATGTATGTATGTATGTATGTATGTATGTATGTATGTATGTGCGTGTGTGTATGTATGTGCGGATACAAATTTTCGTCGACGATTTCGGGAACACGGATCAACCGATTTGAATAATTCAAAAAACATTCGATTCGTATTAATAAGGAGACGTGCTGATTAGTTTTTGGCGAAAGCAGGTCTAGCCGTTCCAAAGATACGGGGCAAAAAGTGCCGAAAACGGTAACTCAGTTTTTAAGAGAACGGAGCGTCCGATTTGAATATTTTAAAAAACATTTTACTTGTATTGACAAGATAAAGAATTGATCAAATTTTCATGAAGGCAGGTCTAACGGTTTCGGAGATCTGATGAAAAAAGTAAAAAAAAATGCCATTTGGCGGTCAAAAATGATCATTAGACATATGCACATCAAATTATCAAATATTTTATAGAGATTTTAACAATAAGTATAAATTTTTTTTACATTTCTATGGGTTCCGTACCAATGTTTACGCGTTAGACGGCGACGCGGCGCTTACGGGCTTTGATATTTCGTCTTTATGCAGTTAAAGCAGTACGATTGCTCTGAAAAAAAGTTTAGATCTTCCAAAATATGTCAAAATAAAATAAAACATTTTTTTTTTTTAAAAAAAAATAAAAAAAATTTTTTTTTTTCAAAAAAAGTAATTTTTTGTCCAATATATAGTTTCTCAAAAATCTTATTTTTTCAAAGTAAATTTTTTTCAAAAATCTTAATCGTTTTTAAAAAAAAAATTTTGGTACGGGAAGTTCCAGCAATTTGCCTTAAGGCACGATGCCTTAATTGCCTTAAGACAGAATTCCACTTACAGCTAGTTTAAAATGTTTTTATATTATCTTCAATTAGTTAACATACTACTTACTATTTAATTTTACATTATTAACTTCCCGTAGGGCAAGTTATAGTAATCGCAAAAAAAATCGAAAATGAAATTTTTTATATATCTTTACGTTTCAAAGGTTTCTTAATATTTTGGCATACCTTAGAAAAATGAATGTATGTGTGTGTGTGTGTGTGTGTGTGCGTGTGCGGATACAAATTTTCGTCGACGATTTCGGGAACACTGATCAACCGATTTGAATAATTCAAAAAACATTCGATTCGTATTGATAAGGAAACGTGCTGATTAGTTTTTGGCGAAGGCAGGTCTAGCCGTTCCGAAGATACGGGGCAAAAAGTGCCAAAAATGGTAACTCAGTTTTTAAGAGAACGGAGAGTCCGATGTTAAATTCAAAAAACATACTTGTATTGACAAGATAAAGAATTGATCAAATTTTCATGAAGGCAGGTCTAGGATTTCGGAGATCTAGTAAAAAAAGTAAAAAAAATGCCATTTGGCGGTCAAAAATGATCATTAGACATATGCACATCAAATTATCAGATATTTTATAGAGATTTTAACAATAAGTATAATTTTTGTTTACATTCCTATGGGTTCCGTACCAATGTTTATCCGTTAGACGGCGACGCGGAGCTTACGCGCTTTGACATTTCGTCTCTATGTAGTTAAAGCAGTACGATTGCTTTGAAAAAAGTTCAGAATTTCCAAAAAAATGTCAAAAATGTAATCGTTTTTTAAAAAAAATATTAATTTTTGATACGGGATGTTCCAGCAATTTACCTTAAGGCACGATGCCATGCGTCCCACTAGTTTTACTTGATTTTTTCGTTATATAAATGAAATAGAAGCCCCATTGTTTACTCTGCGTTTTCCAACTCTTGTTACCAACTTCTCAAATATTAGTTCATCTAATGAGTATAAAATTTTACTTCATACATGAAGATAAAAAAAAATTAATTCAAATTTTTGAATAGATTCGCCACTAATAACTATATGTAAAAAAAAACACACCGAAGAGCCTATTTGGTTGTCGTAGGTACTGCTTCAGTGTTATATTTTTACAGCATCTATTTCATAAGTGAATTATTTTTGTAGCTGTATCCATAGCAAAAAACTGCATTTAGTACTTTTCTTTTAATTTTTTCCATTGTTAACTAACATGTGAACTCGGAATCGGAAATTAAACTTCTGTTTAAGCAGCTAAGGATATGTGTGTTGAATATAAATCGTCGTCAATTAAATCTAATCAAGTCCTAATTATAGTAAGGCCTTAGATTGTTCTTTGCAAAACTATCAGTCAACTGTCAGTAAAGTGTTGTTTGATAGACAAACGCGAATGAACACGCAATTCTTCAACCCTAAATGTCACTTTATGCAATATCGGGCGACGAAGCACCGTTCGAAATTCTTGAACCATCAAAATCGCGTGATACGAAATTATTAGCTTGATACGGGCCATACGATCAACATGCAAATTTAAAAAAAATCCAGTCAAGTAAAGAGCTAGTCGAACTCATTTTCTGAGGATTATGCACGAACTACTATTCACTAAAGCAAAGTGAATTTACTTACCGATCACGTGCACTAGCAGTTATGCAATTTCTTATATTTAAGAAAACAGTTTGACCCCACTAATCCTTTATAACTCTTTTTATATTTTTAACAGCAATCAGAACTTAACGAGTCCTTTAAGCTGGTTCTTAAACGACATGGCTTTATTAATAGATGGCAAGCCATCCTGATGACTTTTGTATCTCTGTGATGATTTTATTATAATTTCTGTGATAGCTGAATTTTATAACTGATAAATTTTAGTTATTTTAATAATCTTCTTATCTTTTATTTCTAACCAGCTATACCTGCGGTATCGTTCGCGTATAATTTACCGTTTCAATTTTTAAATTTTCTTTTGAATTGCCATTTATTTTCAGTTTTCTATATTAGCTCCATTGACATTTTTTTTATATACCAATATTTGGTGTACGTTTTTTTAGGCTAATACAATAGCACTTTTGGTCTTTCTTATGTTTTTAGAGAATTTTTTTTTCGTAGCAAACTATGCAATAAGTACATTTAGCTACAATTATAGACAATTTAGAAATATGGCATGTATAGGATAACTATCATGCGATTTAGAGAGATTTGGTTTTCAGTAGAAGAAACATCAACGTTACTGATCATCTTCTGCATAAAAACGCTTTTAAACTATATATTACAATACCTAATTTAAAAAAAAAACACTTCATGAAACTCAACAAGGACGCGCGATGATTAACTTTAAGAGTCATTTGTTTGGAATTATCAGTAAGTGCAAAATATTTTGTTTACCTTTTTGGAAAAATCTTCAGCCGATGTAATTAACAAACAGTCATGAATATGACTGTTGTAAAGGCATTTTTTAATCCGAACTAAGGACGCCTTGTATACGAATTAATATTTAATGAATTAAAAAAAATTAATTCTATGTTTATTCCAAACAATTCTATGTTTATTCTATGTTTATTCCAAAAATCGATAAGATTTTTAATTTTATTTTTTGTGATATTATATTGATTTTACTATTTTGATAAATAGTCACCTTTTAATAAGGTCTTAAACGTTTCTAATTAAAAATCACTATTTTTTTATTTTTTATTTGTATTTAAAATGACATCGTGTCACTTAATATTTAGTAACTGTTGTAACATAAACTTAAATAAAAATGCTTCTACTGAAAAAATATTTTCAATAAAATATATTTATTTTAATAAACATTTAGTAGGCTTATTTAGTTTTAATTGTCAAAAATGTAAAATTAATGCCAAAAAAATCTAAAAAAAAAATTAAAATTTAAATAAAAATATATGAAAAACTTCATTATAAAATTAAAAAATAATTTGTTAGCATGCCGGCACCGAAGAAGGTGGACAATAAATGGGAATCATCAAGTAGACCAAGTTCTTCTTCTCCAAAGAGTCCACATGGTACCAAAGTCAAAAGAAGTAGAAAAAGCAGACATAAAAATAAAGAAAATATTTCCGAGGATAAAGATCTTGCTGAACAACTGCAGAAGGTAAATGATAAAATATTCATACCATCAAGAGTTTTAATTTCTAAACTCTAAATTTTTTTGAATAATATAAAAACAATAGTAATATTGCTTAACTTAAGGAGGTATTCTAGTCTAAGGCATAAATTTCATTCGATTTTTGGAAGACCGTAAAACATATGTTCTCAAAACATTAATTAGTAACTTGTAAAATAAAATTAATCAAAATATTTTTTGTCCCTTTTTACGGTCTTCCAAAAATCGAACAAAATTTATGCCTTAAACCAGAATACCTCCTTAAGTTAAGCAATATTACTATTGTTTTTATATTATAAAAAAAAAAATTAAAATTAGTTATTACATTTTAATTCTAGAAGCGGCTGAAGTGGGAATCTCAAAAAAATTGACTCTGACCATAAGCATGATTTTAATTTTAGCCTTTTGAAAAAATAATCTGAAAAAAAATACATATTATCAAACGAGAATAATGTCGCAACACGGACAAGATAATTTTTTTCGCAAATTAGCAACTGTCTTAAATGATTTTTTTTACATTTTTTTTGATATTCTAAAAATAAGAATTTAGGGAGATGAGCTCATAATCAGTTTTTGTAAAAGAGAAGTCTATAAAGAAGACTGCAAAAATTTCAAGAAAATCGGTCCATTAGAAGTTGAGAAATCGTGGGTATCGTACCGAAAAAGTAAAACGCTTTTAATGTTCCGTAGCTGCAGAAAACATAGGAGTATTATCGTGGTCAAATACCTAAATCTCTGAAAATAATTTAAATTTTGAAAATCTTTTTGCGCACATATATTTGAATAGTTAAACTTTAAAAATATAATAAAAACATAGGTTTCTTAAAATTTATAGACTAGAATACCCCCTTAAAAATTTCCTAATATTTTGTTTCTTAAAATTAGGCCAATTGGAAATGCAATATTTGTTATGCAATAATTTTTATTCAAGTCTCTACTAATAATTAATACTTTTAAAATACATAGATACTATTATTTATGATACATCTATTTGAATTTTAAATAATAAAAAAAGTTTCTAAATATCGTTTTCTAATGCTTATTGTTTTATTGGATTATTTTCAGGTTGAAAGACAAGTGGAACAAGAGTTGAAATTTACGGCAGAGTTGGAACGTGATAGAATAATTTCGCAGCAGGAAGAATCAGAGAGGGAAAGAAGCAGAGATGAAGATGAATATGAAGATGAGTCTTATGAGTCGGGTTCCTTCGATTCGGAAGCTGCGAATGTTACGTATACTGGAGCCGTTGATATATCTGTGTAAGTTTTATTTTGGAAATGCAAAATAATAAATATTAATATAATACCCATTAATTATCAATTTAACTTCTCGTAGGATAAGTTATAGTAATCGCAAAAAATCGAAAATGAAACTTTTTATTTATGTTTACGTTTTAAAGGTTTCTGAACATTTTGGCATACCTTGAAAAAATAGATGCATGTGTGTGTGTGAGTGTGGGTGTATATGTATGTATGTGTTGATGCAATTTTTTTTCGACGATTTCGAGAACACGGATTAATCGATTTGAATGATTCAAAAACCATTTAATTAGTTGATTGAATTGATAAGGAGACGTGCTAGTTTAGTTTTTGGTAAAATTTTTGAGAGAACGGAGCTTTTTTATTTGCCGTTTTGAAGATACGGGGCAAAAAGTACCAAAAATGGTAATTAAATTTTTGAGAGAACTTTTATTCAAGGAGCTTTTTTTATTCAAGAAACATTTTACTTGTATTAACAAAATGAACAACTGATTAAAGTTTGGGGAGACAGGTCCTTCGGTTTCGGAGATCTAATGGAAAAAGTTAAAAAGTTTCAACTTGATGGTCACAAATGACCATTAGGCATACGCAGATCAAATCATCAGATATTTTGTAGAGATTTTAATGATAAGTACAAACTGTGTTTACATTTTTATGGGTTCCGCACCAATGTTTATCCGTTAAACTGCGACGCGTCGCATATGCGCTTCTATATTTTTCTTTACGCAACGCGATTGCTTTGAAAAGAAAGAGTTCAAAATATTCAACAAATGTCAACAAAAAGTCAAATTTTCTCAAAAATTTAAAAATTCTCAAAAATCTATTTTTTTCAATATTTGAAAAATATTTAAATCTTTATTAAAAGTTTTAATTTTTAGTTCGAGTAGTTCCAGCAACTTGCCTTAAGACACGATGTCATACACCACAAGTTACATTTTTGAATAATATTGAGAATAACCAAATATGGTATACTGTTAAGAAAATCTGTAGGGGGAATTTTTTAATTGTATATATTTTTGTATAATTTGATATTACCCCGTGGCGAAGAGTCTAGAAAAGAAAATGAAATCGTGTTTTTGGAATCTTTCACATTATAGCTTCTCATGATAATATACTGAGAAGAAAACAACAACTGAAAACAAGAACCTGGTTTATTGCACGGACTACTGTGTAGCAAATACAGTCAATATTAATTAAAAATATATACTTTTTACCTACAAAAAATTCATTTTTACCCAATTTAGGAATATTGGGAGTAAATTATCCCAAATTGGGTAAAAATGAATTTCTTGTGGGTAAAAAGTATATATTTTTAATTGATATTAACTGTATTTGCCATATATATATGATAAAAAGCTGCCGTTATTAAAATTGGATAATTTATTCCGACAAATCGGAAGTGCACGTCTTTTCTGAGTGCCCATCATAATAATAAAGAAATATTTATCATCTTTATCTTTAATTTTTTTTTCAAAATTTTACTAAATTTTAATTTAAGATAATAATACTCTCATTGACGTCTGTTGAGAAAACTGATTCATTATATTATTTATAGCTGATTATGACTTTAGTTTCTTTTCTATGAAAAACTTGGAAAGTATTTATTAATTTCCGTGGGATTGATACGGCGGTAGCTACGATACTGATGACATAGTACATGCAAATATTCATTACATTTAAAGAGAACTATTTGATTTGACGTATCAAAACTCCATAAAAAACAAATAATCCACACTTTATTTACATTAACACTTTCCACTCCCAAATTCTGAGATTTATATGAATTTTGCCGCATGTTTTGAAAATTTGTAAAATGTGGAATACCTATGCATGATGATTCTAAAATCTATAATTGAAATTTGCTAATTAATATTGTCGCATTGCTTAATCGAATTGTTTAGTCATATGAAATAAACCTATGTTAATATTTTATCATATTTATAAATGAATTTTATAATGTATTTATAAATAAATTTTCTTCAACATTTCGGTAGACCTAAATAACCAAAATAAAAGATCGGTCCAATTCCGTGAAGTAGAACGGGTGAGTTACGCACAGTTCTCATGCAAGGCCATCGGGTAAAAACGAGTAGAATATTTTTCGTGATTTCTTGTAGTTTCATTTCCTATTTGTATTGTATTATCGGCGACATCTCAAACCGCACATTATATATTTCATTCGGCAGTTTAATACTCAATCGAAATATATAAATTAAACGTGGTTATTTTATTTGATCAAATACTAACCTTTCACGAAAAAACGACGTAAAAAATATTGAGAAACTTGTATTTTACTGAGAAATGTTAATTATTACCGATATCAATATAATAATATAAACTAGTGGAGGAATATTAAATGTTTTCAAATAGACTATTATAAATATTGTAACATTGTCTAATAGATAGAATTATATAAACTGAATTGCAAAGTTAAAATTATTTGTTTGAAGTATATTAGAACTTTAGTCAGAATTAAAAATAAAATCAGAAATATTTTCGATATACAAAAAAAATTTTTTTGAACAAAAAAAAATTGAAAAAAAAATTTTTGAAACTATTCTTTTTTTTTCAAAATCAATTATTTTGTTATAACAAGCAGAAAGTTCTTTGAATCATTCAAATCGGACGCTTAGTTCTCTCAAAAACTGCCATTTTTTGCACATTTAGCTCTGTATATTTGAAATGGCTGAGCCTGCCTTTGCCAAAAATTAATAACCACTTTTCCCAATCAGTACTGTTATTGAATGTTTTTAGATCATTCGAATCGGATGCTCCGTTCTCTCAAAAATTCGATTTCTATTTTTGCACTCTTTGCTCTTGATCTCTATCAAAGCTGGACCAACTTTTGCCAAAAACTAATCAGCCCATCTCCTCATCAATATAAATCGAATGTTTTTTGAACCATTCAAATCGGTTGATTCGATCACTTGAAAACGTGGACGAATGGTTGTATCCATACATACATACACACACATTCATTTTTTTTTGAGGTATGCCAAAATGTTCAGAAACCTTCAAAACGTGAAGAAATGTAAAAATTTCTAATTTTTATTGTTGGTCGATTACAATAAATTACTTAACATAAATTAATAGTACATCAAAAGTTCTTAGTATTACTGAGCTGTTTTTAATTTTTGTAAAATTTATTTATATAAATGCATAAAAGTTAAAAGAATGACAAAATCACGCAGTGGTAATTTTGGCACTTATTTATTGCCCTTAGTAATTATTTCTATTAAAATCTTATGTCTTACGGTGCACACAACCAAAATACTAGTGGCGCATGGCATCGTGCCGTAAGGCAAATTGCTGTTAGTAACAGAGATTTCGATCAATTTTATTGCAGCTCATAAGTGTTCGATAAAATTTTGGTTGCTTATTAATTTTTGTTCAGTTTCGAACAAAATGACATACTTATTAATGGACAAAATGACATAGTACTATTTCGCAAGAACTACGGGCTAGTCGCTAGTCCATTCGGGGCCAGAAAAAAAGCAAATTGAAACATGTAAAAAGTTGGTTTTTAATTTTTATTCCGAGTACTACTTCTAAAAATCAACCAAAAAATCCACAGATAAAAGGAGGTGCCTTGCATTTATAGAGAAACCTTTTTTTAACCCCTAAACCCGCCGGACGTTACGATATATTAGGTTGTCAAATATCTCCCTTCCGCTTTTTTGCTCTTGGGTTATTATACAAAAAGGCGGAAGGGAGATATTTGACAACCTTATATGACTGATTTCTTATATGACTCTTTGAGTTCAGCGTCATGTGCTGATGTCCAAATGATTTGCTTGTGAAATGTCTTATTAAATTTAGTATCTCGGTATGTCTCTACCTTATGTGTCATTTTGTCCGTACTATATGGACAAAATGGTTTTTGTAATTAGTTGCATTTTTCCTAAATAAATATTTTATTGCAGTTCCTACTTAATCAAAAGACTACTTTACTGGTGGTCAATGAATCTAAGATGAGTAAGAAGGAATGAGACTGATCATAATATCATTAAAAAACAAAACATAACATCATTTTGTCCGTACTTTTCCTACTATAACCACTCTGCAAATTGTGCTTTCCTACTATTGTACTTTTCTATTATTAATTTAATAGTCAATAATTTAATACCTACATACTTTCTTATTTCATCCAGTCTTTCTTTAGTGCGCCCAGAAGTATCTTTGAGCGTGTCGGCCACATCCAATGCTCATTGCTGGCCGTGCAGTGAAATCGCAAAGGCTGCAAGACTTCTGGCCAACCCACCGATGAATGTCGATTTTGTAGACGAAGTCGAAATGAGGAGGGTCTACTCTCTGATCTACGACGTGTTTCGGTGTAAGTAATATCATATTTTATTAATCCATAATTCAAAGCACTTTGGTTTGATCATAAATATTTATCTGCTCGACATTCGTATCAATGCCAATATTTTTTAATACATTTATATATTTTAAATTAACCATCTGATCAGTAAAACCGGCTAATTCATCATTGTTGAAATGTGCTTTTTGCTGTTTTTCAACAATTTGTGGCCTGTTTTTTATCCCATAGCCGGGGTAAAATGGGACATCCAAGAGGCAAACAGATCGAATGTCTTATTTTTAATTTTAAAGGCATTTCACGAAATAATCACAATATTCAACCAATGCAAAATATAAATTTCATGAGTACATTTTTTTACAAAGATAACACGGTATACAACACTCATAGGAGTTATATAAAAAAAAACTGTTGATTTTATCTTAAAAATATTTATACATCGTATAAAAGAATTACACAACTATAGGCTTAAAAATTATATTAAGATCTCGTAAACTAACCTACAGTGCTCACAACCGAAAAAACTAACTAGTGGTGGGTGGCATCGTGTCTTAAGGCAAATTTCTAGAACTTCCCGTACCGCTATGAAATAATTGAAATATTTTAAATATTCTCGAATAGACTATTATAAATACAATAACTTTCATTATTAGTATTCGTATTTTATAGACAAAATATAAGAGTCT